TCTTGACTGTCATGTTGCTGTTTGGAACCTTGAGATACACATTCAGGGATTTAAACTGTGTACCCGTGAATGGCCAGATAAGAATGCAAATTGAGCCTATTGTATTCAGTAGGGTTCTCTCCAGGTAAAGGTGCCTATCTCAACTCACCAGGCAACTTGGCCAAATACATTCCAAACACATTGGAGTCCATCACCCATGCCGTCTGAAAATGATGGTAGCCGTAATCTAAAACATCTGGAGACACGGCTTTGCAATTGGCAAGCTTGAGTAGCATTGAGTAGCCATGAAGCCAATGTGGTCCCAATCTTCAAGAAGGGAAAAAATGATGACCCAAACAATTACCGTCCGGTCAGCCTCACGTCGATACCAGGCAAGATTCTGGAAAAGATTATTAAGGAAGTGGTCTGCAAACACTTAGAAACAAATGCGTTCATCGCTAATAGTCAACATGGATTTATCAAAAACAAGTCATGCCAGACTAATCTGATCTCTTTTTTCGATAGAGTTACAAGCTGGGTAGATGCAGGGAATGCCGTGGATGTAGCGTACCTGGATTTCAGTAAGGCCTTCGACAAGGTCCCCCATGACCTTCTGGCAAACAAACTAGTCCAATGTGGGCTAGGCAAAACTACGGTGAGGTGGATCTGTAATTGGTTAAATGGACGAACCCAGAGGGTGCAATGCTTCCTCTTCATCCTGGAAAGAAGTGACGAGTGGAGTGCCGCAGGGTTCCGTCCTGGGCCTGGTCCTGTTCAACATCTTTATTAATGACTTAGATGAAGGGCTAGAAGGCAGGATCATCAAGTTTGCAGACGACACCAAATTGGGAGGGATAGCCAATACTCCAGAGGACAGGAGCAGGATTCAAAACGATCTTGACAGATTAGAGAGATGGGCCAAAACTAACAGAATGAAGTTCAACAGTGACAAATGCAAGATACTCCACTTTGGCAGAAAAAACGAAATGCAAAGATACAGAATGGGGGACGCCTGGCTCGAGAGCAGTACGTGTGAAAAAGATCTTGGAGTCCTCGTGGACAACAAGTTAAACATGAGCCAACAATGTGATGTGGCGGCAAAAAAAGCCAATGGGATTTTGGCCTGCATCAAGAGGAGCATAGTGTCTAGATCTAGGGAAGTAATGCTACCCCTCTATTCTGCTTTGGTTAGACCACACCTGGAATATTGTGTCCAATTCTGGGCACCACAATTCAAGAGAGATATTGACAAGCTGGAATGTGTCCAGAGGAGGGCGACTAAAATGATCAAGGGTCTGGAGAACAAGCCCTATGAGGAGCAGCTTAAGGAGCTGGGCCTGTTTAGCCTGAAGAAGAGAAGGCTGAGAGGAGATATGATAGCCATGTATAAATATGTGAGAGGAAGCCACAGGGAGGAGGGAGCAAGCTTGTTTTCTGCTTCCCTGGAGACTAGGACGTGAAACAATGGCTTCAAACTACAAGAAAGGCGATTCCATCTGAACATGAGGAAGAACTTCCTGACTGTGAGAGCCATTCAGCAGTGGAACTCTCTGCCCCGGAGTGTGGTGGAGGCTCCTTCTTTGGAAGCTTTTAAAAAGAGGCTGGATGGCCATCTGTCAGGGGTGATTTGAATGCAATATTCCTGCTTCTTGGCAGGGGGTTGGACTGGATGGCCCATGAGGTCTCTTCCAACTCTTTGATTCTATGATTCTATGACTGCTCAGTAACAGCTAAAGAGACAGCATGGCTCAGAGGTTTGAGCATTGGAGTATAACTCTGAATACCCACTTTACAGAAATGGGGCTACAAAGTGGAATCCTGACATGCGAGTGTGGAGAAGAGCAAACCAGTCCACCTGCTGCAATGCACCTGAGCCTGCCACATGCACAATGGAGGACCTTCTTGCAGCAACACCAGAGGCACTCCAGGTGGCCAGCTACTGGTCAAAGGACATTTAGTATAATACCAAGTCTGCAAACTTTGTGTTTTGTATGTGTGTATGTTTGTTTTTAATGCAATACAACTGTTTGGGTTCGCTCCTGACACAATAAATAAAATAGTGTTCTTGGGTGGGAGAAAGAACCCTTGTCTGTTTGAAGCAAGTGTGAGTGTTGCAATTAGCAACCTTGAACAGCATTGAGTAGCTAAGTCAATCAGTGAGGGTATCTGCATAGAGGCAGTATGGCCTCTGTTGCCTGGAGGCATTCTCTGTTGGGGGGGGGGGGCGTTGTTAACTGGCACTTGACTGCTTGCTGCCTGGAGTGCCCCTATTTCTGAGTAGTGAAACAGTTACAGTTAACACCTCCCAAACAAAGGATGCCCTCAGGCAGCAACAGCCAGGCGCCCTCTGTGCAAATACCATCACAGTCACTGATTGATTTTGCACCTTCATAAGTCAATCAATCAGACTTTATTTATATCGCACCCCTTCTCCCCATGGGAACTCAAGGTGGCTTACAACATGAAATAATAAACAAAGCAAATAGACAATAAACATTCAGTCATAAAATGAATCAACAACAACAACATAGAATCAAAGAGTTGTAAGAAACCTCATGGGCCATCCAGTCCAACCCCCTGCCAAGAAGCAAGAATATTGCATTCAAATCACTCCTGACAGATGGCCATCCAGCCTCTGTTTAAAAGCTTCCAAAGAAGGAGCCTCCACCACACTCCGGGGCAGAGAGTTCCACTGCTGAACGGCTCTCACAGTCAGGAAGTTCTTCCTCATGTTCAGATGGAATCTCCTTTCTTGTAGTTTGAAGCCATTGTTCCGCATCCTAGTCTCCATGGAAGCAGAAAACAAGCTTGCTCCTTCCTCCCTGTGGCTTCCTCTCACATATTTATACATGGCTATCATATCTCCTCTCAGCCTTCTCTTCTTCAGGCTAAACATGCCCAGCTCCTTAAGCCGCTCCTCATAGGGCTTGTTCTCCAGACCCTTGATCATTTTAGTCGCCCTCCTCTGGACACATTCCAGCTTGTCAATATCTCTCTTGAATTGTGGTGCCCAGAATTGGACACAATATTCCAGGTGTGGTCTAACCAAAGCAGAATAGAGGGTTAGCATTACTTCCCTAGATCTAGACACTATGCTCCTATTGATGCAGGCCAAAATCCTGGTCTTTTTGCTGCCACATCACATTGTTGGCTCATGTTTAACTTGTTGTCTCTCATTTGGTACCAGCCATTGATTGAGCTTCTGGGTTTTAGCCTGCCACTTTTGGACTCTCACTTGCTGGGGTGCTCCTGCGAGTGTAGAGCTTAGAAAACTATTTCTTAATTTAAGTCATTGGCGTGCTGGCTGATAACCAAACAGGGGGTGGGCCGGAGATGTCACTGCCTTGGTCCTTTCACTATTGGTTGCTACTCTGAGATCAGAGTGAAGAGAGGGGCCAGGAAAGCAGTTCCATCTTGTCTCCTGCACTGTGCTTATAATATAATGTAATACAATATAATATAATATAATATAATATAATATAATATAATATAATATAATATAATATAATATATTGTATATACATATAATATTGATATTATAATGTAATACAATATACTGCTAATCATAATATTATATTATAATTATATATTTTGTATTAAATGTAATATTACTAATAATACTACAGTATAATGTTATAGTACAATGTAATATATAATATTAATATTGTGCTATGATAATATAATATATTGTATTTATTTTTTACTTGTTAGCTGCTCTGAGTCCCCTTCGGGGTGAGAAGGGCGGCATATAAATGTCATAAATAAATAAATAAATACTCTCCGGCGGATGTCAGGTGGGGTGCAGTACCGGATAAACAGTGTAATTTCTCCAGTGGTGTAGGGCGCAGACACCCCATGATAATGCAGCATGTCTCATTAAGAGCCACATCCACTGTTTTAGTGTGGTGAGATGTGTTCCACACTGGGCATGCATACTAAGCAGCAGAGTAGCATAGAGCAAGGGCAGATGTCTTCACTGTATCTGGTTGTGATCCCCAGGTTGTGCCAGTCAGCTTTCATGTGATATTGTTTCTAGCACCCACTTTTTGCTTGATATTCAGGCAGTGCTTCTTGTAGGTCAGAGCATGGTCCGTAGTAACTCCCAGGTATTTGGGTGTGCTGCAATGCTCCTGTTGGATTCCTTCCTATGTAATCCTCAGAGCTCGGGATGTTTGTCTGTTCTTAAGATGAAAAGAACATGCTTGTGTTTTAGATGGACTAGGGATCAGTTGGTTTTCCCTGTAATAGGCAGTAAGAGCACCTAGAGCTTCGGAGAGCTTCAGTTCAACCATCTCAAAGCTCCCTGCTTGAGCGGTGATGGCACGATCACCAGCATAGATGAAGCTCTCTGTCCCTTCTGGCAGTGGCTGATCATTTGTGTAAATGTTGAACATGGATGGAGCAAGCACACTCCCCTAAGGCAGGACGTTCTTCTGTTTCTGCCATCTGCTTCTCTGGTCCTGGAACTCAACAAAAAAGCTCCTGTTTTGTAGCAGGTTTCCTATGAGGCGGGTGAGGTGGTAGTCCTTTGTGATATTATACATTTTTCTCAGGAGGAGGCGGTGGTTTACAGTATCATAAGCCGCTGACAGGTCTATGAAGACAGCTCCTGTGATCTGCTGCCTTTCAAAGCCATCTTCTATGTGCTGAGTCAGGTTCAGCACTTGCAATGCGCAGCTTTTCCCTTTCCTGAAGCCAGCTTGCTGTGGGATCAGACAGGGGTCTATTTTTTCCATAATTCTATGCAAAATAGACACTATCCCACAGGTATATTATATACACTCCACTTGCCTCACTGCCGGCAGAATCTCTGAAGATGCCATTAGCTACTGATACAGATGAAACGTCAGGAGAGAAGCAGGGACATACAGCCTTAAAAACTGAGTGACCCTGTGACAGTATAGATAGTGCTTGAATCAAGGTGGGGTGGAGGAGACGGTAGCTGCGCGCATGCGCAAACACACATATAAAGAGGGGGCAATGAGGACGCGCGTTCCGTTAGCAGCAAGCGAAGGCGTGAGCCCTCGCGCCTTGCGCACGCGCAGCTCGCTCTCTTCATTCGGCTCAAGAAAAGGCGAGGGAGAAGGGAACGCCTGCGCGCAGAGGGTGCTTCTGGAGGGCGCATGCGCGGGGCTTGGAGCAGGTTGGCTTTTCAGCGTCGGTCCCCGAGGCGAGGTCGGAGGTAAGAGAAGCCGGGGGGCTTGGTTGCGGAGTAGGCCGCGAAGCCTCAGGGAGCAACGCTTCGAGGCCTGCAGGCGGTGAAGGATGAACCAGAGGGCCTTCGTGGTGATTAGCTCACCAGGCCTGCCTTGGCCGTGTTTTACTCAACTCTAGCTTTGCAAGGTGTTTTGGACTTCAACTCCCAGAAGCCCTGACTATTGGCCGAGACTGCTGAGGCTTCTGGGAGTTGAAGTCCAAAAACACACACACACACCTGCGTGGAAGGTGAGAGCTGAGGAATCTCTACAGTACCAAGCTCACCAAGGCCCATGTCTGAGTGGGAAATATTTGTGGTGCCAAATTATTAGTTCCTTCCAAGCTTGGCTTCTCTTTCGATGGCTCACCCTGTGGGCTGGGGATGATGGGGATGGCAGCCCAGCATCCCTTTTGGCTCTGAGGGTGGTGGTTGTTGTTTTAAGAGGGGGTTTAAAAAGCCTTGCATTTTAGTCCACTCTCCTGGCAGAAAAGAATATATACACTCCCATAGCATTACACCAGGCATGGGCCAACTTTGGCCCTCCTCCAGCAGTTTTGGACTTCAACTCCCAAAACTGCTAAGAGCAAGCACTCCCCAAAACTTCCACCTGCCATATTGTATAGATATTGTATTTTATGGTCTTGGCACCAACTGTAAACCATCCCAAGTCGCCTGCAGGCAGAGAAGGACGGTGTATAAATATAGTAAATAAATAAATAAAATAAATATTTAGTGCAAAGTTAGTGGTAATGTGTTATGGAAGGCTTTCATGGTCGGAATCACTGTGTTGTTAATGAGTTTTTCAGGTTGTATGGCCATCCTCCAGTAGCATTCTCTCCTGATGTTTTTCCTGCATCTGTGCCAGGCATCCTGGGAGGTTTGTTCAGAGGTTTGCTAGAAAGGATTCCCACAGATATATATATATATACACCCCACTTGCCTCATTGCTAACATCCCTCTGAACAAACCTCTCAGGATGCCTGCCATCAATTTAGGCAAAAAGTCAGGGGAGAATGCTACTAGAACATGGCCATACAGCCCGAAAAAACCCACAGCAACCCAGTTATTAGTAACGTTTGCAGGAGGGACAGTAATGCTTGGCTAGTGTGTATTGAAGTTGTTCAGCATAAGAATTGTAGCTAACTAGGAAAAGATACGACTTGTATCTGATGTGGAAGATCTAAAGTGAAGTCGCTGTTGTTACCATTTGTCTACTGGAGTGAGTGTTGATACTCTAAACACCTTGAGTTAAATTCGTAGTTACAGAGAGGTTATGGCACAAACACTGTCGGTGAGATTTAAAGACCTGTTTATGTTTTTCTTACTCGCGTGGCGTTAGTTTTTAATTGCCCGGGTTGGTAAACTTGTAATTGCCGATATCCTGTAGGCTGAATATAAACATGACCCTGTTTATACTATTTGTGCTGTAAAATTTACAAGAGTCTCTTGAGCCTAAAAGATTTCAAAACAATTTCAGTTCCATTCCATGATGGTGGTCTTCCAAGTATTTTGTCCTGCAGTTCAAAAATAAAAAGGCACCAAGCTGCTGAAAACCATCATCAGAACAGTTCTTCTGAAGCTTTACCAAAATATCCATGTGTTTGTAATTAATTGATTAGGCTGATTAAAGTCATGAGTTAGCAATTAAGCCATTACTTCTGGCTCTTGGACAGTAGTCTTTCTTATATAAAGGGGGGAAAGGGAGAAGTCCAGAAGAGAACTAATATCAATAGAACAAAGAAAGAAAATCATATACTGTGAGACTAAAACTTCCTTGAAAAATTACACAAAAACGATTGTTAACACTACAGGCAGTCCTCAAATGAAGAACGAGATACATTCTGTAGATTTGTGTTTAAGTTGAATTTGTATGTAAGTAAAAAGAGGTCAATTTCTAAGTGTAACACACTCTCTCTCTCTCTCTATATATATATATATACACATACATACATACATATACAGTAAAGTCTCGCTTATCCAACATAAACAGACCAGCAGAACATTGGATAAGTGAAAATGTTGGATAATAAGGAGGGATTAAGGAAAACCCTACGAAACATCAAATTACGTTATGATTTTGCAAATTAAGCACCAAAACATCATGTTTTACAACAAATCGAGAGAAATAGCAGTTCAGTACACAGTAACGTTATGTAGTAGTTACTGTATTTACTAATTTAGCAACAAACATTGCAATGTATTGAATCGGCAGTGGATCCAAGCGGGAAGCAGACTACGTTGGATAATACAGAATGTTGGATGAGCAAAGGTTGAATAAGTGAGACTACTGTATAGATATATAGATATGCATGCTAACAACCCTGTAAGCGTTTCCTTCAGATATACTGCTTTCAAGCCATTGCCACCCATTCTGTATTTGTGTTTTTCATTTTTCCTGTCTACATGTAGTACTTTACCTTTATCCCTACAAAATTAATTCTGTTAAGTTTTGACCTAGCATATACATATAGCCTTTGTGTGTTTACATTTTTTCCAGGGACAAAGACAAATTTTTGAGGAACTGAATAAGAACTGTTTTTATGTCACCCTACAAAGACAAGCTTAGCAGCTATGGGTGAATATAGCCGCTTTATTGATTGGGATAAGATGGACTCTACAATCCAGGACCAGGATGCAAAGGAACTGACTAGCACGGAATTTCAAGATCTGAAGCAATTAGCTCGCCAAGGGTACTGGGCCAAGAACCACTCTTTAAGAGCAAAAGTATACCATAAACTGATTAGTGATATCCCTTGCCGCACAGTGACTCCAGATGCACACGTCTACAGGGACATTGTTTTGAAAATTGCTGGGAAGCGTAACAGCAGCAGCCTTCCGCTTCCAGAATTTGTTGACAACAGCCTAGTTCCCACTTACTGTCTGAATGCTGAGGGCATTGGGGCTGTCAGGAAGATAATCTCCTGCATTGCAAGCCAGTTCCCAGACATATCATTTTGCCCAGCTCTGCCTTCTGTTGTGGCACTCCTCCTTCACTATAGCAAAGATGAAGCGGAGTGCTTTGAGAAGGTTTGTCGTATTCTTGCTTGCAATGACCCCTCCAAGCACTTAATTGATCAGACCTTCTTGGCTTTTGAGTCTTCCTGCATGACATTTGGTGATCTGGTTAACAAGTACTGCCAGGCAGCCCACAAACTGATGGTGGCGGTCTCAGAAGATGTGCTAGAAGTATATTCGGACTGGCAACGCTGGCTTTTTGGAGAACTACCTCTGACTTACATTGCACGTGTCTTCGATGTTTTCTTGGTAGAGGGCTACAAGGTTCTCTATCGTGTTGCACTGGCTCTTCTCAAGTTTTTCCATAAAGTCAGAATTGGGCAGACTTTGGAGTCAGACAATATACAACAGGACATCCGTACTTTTGTTAGGGATATTGCAAAATCAGTGTCTCCTGAGAGATTGCTAGAGAAAGCATTTGCCATTCGACTCTTCTCTCGGAAAGAGATTCAGCTTTTGCAAATGGCCAATGAGAAGGCTCTTCAGCAGAAAGGCATCACAGTGAAGCAGAAAAGGTAAAGTTGGGGTAATCTGTAATGTTATGTAATACGGTAAAACCGTTATTCACACGGCGTAGTAAGTGAAGTCATTAGGATGGGAGTGCAGCGTTTCTTCAATATGCAGCCAGTGGAAAAAGATAAAATACAGTCCATGCACCAAATCAATGTGGTCTGCAAGAAGTGCATACTGAGTATGTATGTTTAGTCTGGCAAAGAGGAGGTTAAGAGATAATATGATAGCTGTGAGGCTAGGACATGGATCAGTGGATTCAAACTATGAGAAAAGAAAGTCTACATAGGCATTAGGAAGAACTGCCTGACATGTGTTTGGCAGTGGAATATGCTGCCTTGGACTGTGATGGAGTCTCCTTCTTTTAAGGGTTTTAATCAAAGGCTGAATGGCTAATCTGTTGTGTGCTTTCATACCTGCACGGCAAGGGATTGGAATAGATGCCCCCTGTGGTCTCTTCCAACTTTGTTTCTAAAACTAGAACATTTTAGCCCTGTTTCTCTATTCATCTGTTGTGATAACTTCCTATATTTGCCTTATAGCAACACAGCAACCTACATCAAACCAGTACAGCCTTCTTCTTGCTCAATGCTTCAATCTATGTTTATAGATTGGAAGGTGGTGCATCCTAATGAATTATTTCTATGCATAGTGAAACCAGTTATCAGACTTTTCTAACACAGGAGCAGTGTGCTGCACAGTGGATTTAAATTAAAACCACAATAATTCAAAATAACCTTGGCTGTTTTTCACATTTCATGGTATACTGTTCCAGTAATTATTTTCTTTAAAAGACTCTGTTGATTGGGGTACACTCGGTTTACTCTAATTTCACAATATTCTTGTCTTTCAACTTGAAAATAAATACAACAAAGCGGAAACTTCGGTGCCATATCTGTTTTTAAAAGCCTTGTCAACTTTTTCCAGTGAACATAGATGAAATTTTACCTCTACTACCAAATCAACAAGCTTAGTGGACTTTTAGTTTGGGACAGTGAGGTAAACAACTGTTATCATCAATCGACAAATGAGTAACCATATTTAGGACAGCAAACACACACTTTTAATCAGATCCATATTCTGTTTAGATGAGATCCTAGAGAAAAGCAGTAGTTTGACGAATGTTGGTTCCTGTCCTGTTTTCTACTTTAACTTACTACAGCATGAATGGGAGACATATGGCAAACCAGATGATCTTTGATACCATTATTCCTCACAATTAGCAGTATTAGCAACAATATCTGGATTGCATGCGCCACAGAAATAAGCAAGAAAAAAGAAACATTTTATGACAGCTATATAGCAGTATTTCTGATGTTTCACATGTCTGAAATATACCACTCTCTGGGAAATTTGAAAGTAGAAGCGTCAACTCAAGTTCTACACTGTTGTGTGAAGAGCTATTAAGTGGAAATAAACATGTCCCAGAGGCTCAGAAGGAATTGAGAAGTGACAAGATGGTGAATATGGAATTGTGCATTTAAACATTTTGTTGATTTGATTCAGATCTTACTCTTTGTGTTTCTCTATAGGCTTCTTCCACACACTTCGGTGGGGATGTTTGAAATCGCTGATCTTTTCCTTGTTTTTCTGTTTTTGTCTCCTTTTTCATGCCTTCTTGTTCTTTCAATTTCGTATCTTCTACTCCCTTCCTTTTTTGCAGCATTGCATCCCCCAAAAGGTAGGTTTCAAGATTTAAATCTTCATGCTTTGCTATCACTTGCCTTTGCTTTGCTTCCTTATGGCTGTTATCGCTGCTAATTGCTTGGACAATACAGCATTTACTTCTAATGCTACCATTACTTAAAATGGTACCAGTGGAGGGGAAATTCAATGAAGTCTTGCCAACGCTTTCGTGGTTCTTCCTATCAATCTTGGTGTAAAAGGTCTCCATTGTAATCTAACTTTATTTCTCTTTATTTGTCATGAAGTTCTTAGGTTTTGTTGGCAAAATATAAGCCTTGTTTTGACCTGGTCATGCTGTAGAGGACATTGGAGTCTGTTGGCAAAAAAAAAAAAAAATAGAACCATTGAGCAGCAAGATGCATAGTCACTCTTTATATGATTAGATAAACATTGTTTTGAAAAATGGTTGCTAGTTGTATAACTTATGGTTGTTTTCCACTAATAAAAGAAGTATTGAGGGTCTACAGAAACCATTATTATTTGCAAGTTGTTCAGACTGTGTTACAGGCCTATAGTGCTTCTTTCTCTTAGCCTGTGTCTGGAAGTGTTTTCTTGCTGTAAGAAAGCCGTGATTCTTCCACAATTTCATCAGGTGTGTTTTTGTGCATTCCTCATAACCTGTTCCATTTCCTTGTTCTCTCTGCTCTTTTTTATAGACACTGATCGTTGAATGTTATTGCTGTAATTGCGGGAGGTGGGCCTTGCATCAAACCGAACTATGCATCCCATCACTAATTAAGATAGATTTGAACTTCAGCAATAATCTATAGGATTTTTCAGACCAGAACATTCCATCTCTTTTCCAAGGGCTATGGCTTTGGTGAACTGGGATTGCTTGCATACAGGCACATGCAAACTCTAGGAAAGCAACTAAAGGGCAGACTGAGTCAGTGCCAGAAAGTAACTTATTGTACAGTGGCCAAAATCCTGTTAGTGGCATGAGCATATCATAGATGGAGAATAAACAGCTATTTTGCATTCCTTTGTACAATGTCCAACCACATTAATGCTCCTCCTTTTGCTTACATATGTGAAAGAGGGAGAGGAATACTCATTTCTTGTCAACTTCTGAATATTTCAGACAGGACACAAAGCTGCTGCTTACCATTGTGGGAAGAGAGAGAGCTCAGGAGGTACATGCTGATGAACTGTCTCAGCTTGGAGAAAGAAGAACATGGGAGTGAAGTCACAGGCACTCTCCTATCCCTTCCTCTTGGGGAGTTAATTCAGTTGAATTGGCCCTTTATTCTGCCTACTGATGTAGGATCTTAACTTTCATGTTTTGAAATTTTCCAGAATCCTCACCATGATTTGAAAGTCTTTAGGGAAAGTTCAGATAATGCAGAATTATTCACCTCAATGTATTTATATGAAATCAAATCTAGCATCTCCGTCCCACAAAAACGCACCAAAACTGTATTTAATATTGTTTCTTTAAATGCTTAATTAGGTGGGCAGAGATTCTTTAAACCGCTGCTCTCTTGTAGACGGCTTTATTAAAGCTATAAAAATGCTAAATTCAAGATAGATATAAAGTCCGTTCTTTTGCCCTTTCATTGTTTTCCTATTGTGTGGTAGAGCTTTCTTTCTACTTACAAACCCTTGGGTTGGTCAATCATGGTATACATACTAATTTGCAAATGCCTCTGGTTGCCTAGAAATGATTCTTTCTTCTCATAGGAAAAGCCCAGTTTAGTCAATATTTGATTTGGTCCTTTGCCCTTGATCCTTTTCTCAGCAGTACTTTCTGTTGTTCTGCAGGCAAAATGTTCACTTGGCCGTTCATGCAGAAAATTTCAAGTCTGAAATTGTTGACGTAAAGAAAATGAGAGATATCTGGTCATGGATTCCTGAACGCTTTGCACTCTGCCAGCCTCTGCTGCTTTTCACCACCTCAGAGCATGGTTGCAGCCTAAGCAGGTAATGCTTCCACCTTAAATATTTGTCAAGGAATCCATGGTGGTGAACAGAGTGCCACAATACAGCTAATTTCATCTCATTCTTTGATTGAAGTCTGCCATGTGCCATGGGCTGTTTTTTTGTCAGAGGGACTATCCACATGCAAGAAGTTGGGTACTGCTGAGTATTTTTGCAGTGTATGCAGCATGTCTGGCTTATGTCATGTACTGGAATGGAAGGCCAGCAGTGGATTCCAGGTACTGTAGATTATATTTCAGATGAAAGAACTAGCAAAAGCACTGTTGCACGTTCCTTATTTATTTATCATGTCAGCAGCGAATTGAGGGTACAGTTATAATGTATTGAAAAACATAAAATTAAAAATTTGGCATTATGCTAAATGTCTTTTGACCAGAAGCTGGCCACTTGGAGTCCCTATGGTATTGCTGTAAGAAGGTCCTCCATTGTGCATGTAGCAGGGCTCAGGTTGAATTGTAGCAAGTGGTCTGTGGTTTGCTTTCCTCTACACTTTGTGGCCCCATTTCTTAAGATTGGCTCTGCATCTCGTGGTGCCAGAGTGCTGTCTGTTGAGTGCCTTCCAAGTCGCCCAGTCTTCTGTGTGCTCAGGAGGGAGTTTTTCATCCAGTATCAGCCGGAGTTCCCATAGGGGTTAAAAATTACTTGGCAGTGATCTAGAGTCCAGTCCAGAGGAGAAGCTGAGGGGGAGTTCTGTTCTTGCTCCGGCTCCTGTATGTTAACTATGGGGGAGAAATAGGCCTTTATCCCATTTTGTTTTGCTTTCTTTCTTTTCCCAGGAGGAGGAGATGATATTAGTGGGGACAGGGGTTTGTCACTGTTTCTGTAGGTCTGCCTTGTTCTGATTACCATGACTCTTGTAGAATAAAACCACAATCACCAGACAACCAGGAGTTTTAAGTACTAGTTGATAAGCGTTGCTTGATGCTTGATGGAGTTGCAGCAATGACTTTGATAAAGCGCGCCAATGTTTAGATTACAGAATTATCTTTGATGTCTGGTGCTAATGTTTGTACTTGGCCTTTATCTATAGTCCTTATTCACCTGCTGTTTTGTTCTCTAGCAGTTCGCTTGCAATTCGTACTACTTTAGCAGGGATTTGTTTCAAGAGAGCTCTCAGGTGTATATAGCTAATTGAGTGTTCCTTGAATCATCAGAGGATTCTTCTCTTTCCTCAGCGCAAAGAGTCAGTCTCAGCTTCAGTAAGCTAAAAGCTAATAGAGTCTTCTTCTCTCTCTTCTCCAGTGCAACCTTGTGCCCTATGCCTGTCTGGCTGGGAATCTAACCTGGCACAGAGCTCCTCTCTTTTTCACTTCCCAAGCATGAGTGCCACAGATTGAGGTTTTGGGTTTTCGCTTGCCACTTTTGGACTCTCGCTTGCTGAGGTGTTCCTGCGAGTATCTCTGTAGACTTGCAACATACACATTCCTTAAGAAAAGCCCATAAAATCAATGGATTATTTGAAGACAGGCAAAGGAGAAGGAGGAGGAGAAGATGGGGCAATGCTGACAGGGGATAGGGAAAAGGCAGAACTACTTAATACCTTCTTTGCCTCGGTCTTCTCACAAAAAGAAAGTCATCTTCAACCTCAGCAAGACGGAGTGGATGAGGGATTTGAGGACATCCAACTCCAAATTGGGAAACAAGTCGTACAGGAATACCTGGCTGCTCTAAATGAGTTCAAGTCCCCAGGGCCAGATCAACTACACCCAAGAGTATTGAAGGAACTAGCAGAAGTCATTTCAGAACCATTGGCAACCATCTTTGAGAGTTCTTGGAGAACGGGAGAAGTTCCAGCAGATTGGAGGAGGGCCAATGTGGTCCCAATCTTCAAGAAGGGAAAAAAGGATGACCCAAACAACTACCGTCCGGTCAGCCTCACGTCGATACCAGGCAAGATTCTGGAAAAGATTGTTAAGGAAGTGGTCTGCAAACACTTAGAAACAAATGCGGTCATTGCTAATAGTCAACATGGATTTATCAAAAACAAGTCATGCCAGACTAACCTGATCTCTTTTTTCGATAGAGTTACAAGCTGGGTAGATGCAGGGAATGCCGTGGATGTAGCGTACCTGGATTTCAGTAAGGCCTTCGACAAGGTCCCCCATGACCTTCTGGCAAGGAAACTAGTCCAATGTGGGCTAGGCAAAACTACGGTGAGGTGGATCTGTAATTGGTTAAATGGACGAACCCAGAGGGTGCTCACCAATGCTTCCTCTTCATCCTGGAAAGAAGTGACGAGCGGAGTGCCGCAGGGTTCCGTCCTGGGCCCGGTCCTGTTCAACATCTTTATTAATGACTTAGATGAAGGGTTAGAAGGCAGGATCATCAAGTTTGCAGACGACACCAAATTGGGAGGGATAGCCAATACTCCAGAGGACAGGAGCAGGATTCAAAACCATCTTGACAGATTAGAGAGATGGGCCAAAACTAACAAAATGAAGTTCAACAGTGACAAATGCAAGATACTCCACTTTGGCAGGAAAAATGAAATGCAAAGATACAGAATGGGGGACAATGCCTGGCTCGAGAGCAGTACGTGTGAAAAAGATCTTGGAGTCCTCGTGGACAACAAGTTAAACATGAGCCAACAATGTGATGTGGCGGCAAAAAAAGCCAATGGAATTTTGGCCTGCATCAATAGGAGCATAGTGTCTAGATCTAGGGAAGTAATGCTACCCCTCTATTCTGCTTTGGTTAGACCACACCTGGAATATTGTGTCCAATTCTGGGCACCACAATTCAAGAGAGATATTGACAAGCTGGAATGTGTCCAGAGGAGAGCGACTCAAATGATAAAAGGTCTGGAGAACAAGCCCTATGAGGAGCGGCTTAAGGAGCTGGGCATGTTTAGCCTGAAGAAGAGAAGGCTGAAAGGGGATATGATAGCCATGTATAAATATGTGAGAGGAAGCCACAGGGAGGAGGGACCATAAATAGTGCGCGGAACAATGGCTTCAAACTACAAGAGAGGAGATTCCATCTGAACATGAGGAAGAACTTCCTGACTGTGAGAGCCGTTCAGCAGTGGAACTCTCTGCCCCGGAGTGTGGTGGAGGCTCCTTCTTTGGAAGCTTTTAAACAGAGGCTGGATGGCCATCTGTCAGGGGTGATTTGAATGCAATATTCCTGCTTCTTGGCAGGGGGTTGGACTGGATGGCCCATAAGGTCTCTTCCAACTCTTTGATTCTATGATTCAATGATTCTATATACACAGAAATCCCAGATCAGCATAGACCAACGTAAAATTAACTTTAACAGGAATGAGGGTAAGATTAAAAAACTGCCCTGGTGTAGTTGTTTGAGCCTTGCCTTATAACTTTGGGGATTAGGGTTCGAATCCCCACTTGGCCATGGAAATTCACTGGATGTTGTTACATAGGTCCTAGTGGGAGAGCATTTATAATATATGCACTGTGTCACTATTAAATTGTTTTATCCTCTTCCTGTTTTATAAGCAACTGTGTATAATCCTTCATCCTCTCAGTAATATGAAGACAGGGACAATGTCTCATTATATTTCAGAGTTAAAGTGAGCAACATGTGTCCCTTCAGATATCATTAGGTTGTAGCTTCCATCAACATTACCCAGAGTACTCAGTAAAGAGGAATAATGGGAATTGCAATTCAGCTGCATCTGGTGGACTACACTTCTCCTTTCACTCCTGGATATATTATTCTGGGAATAATTTGTGATGAATATTCTTGTGGTTATATGCCTTTGAGTTTTTTCTGACTTGGGTTCATCTTTTTGTTTAACTTATCATGGATTTTTACTCTGTAGACTTGAACTTTAGTGATTATGATATGGATGAAAAAATTGAGAGTGCTCATTAGTGAAACATTGCAATGGTTAACGTCGCTAACTGAGCATCTTCATATACATATATATTTATTTAGGTTCTATTCACATTGTGAGGGACATGAACCGACCCTCCTTTTGATCAAGACAACCAAACAAGAGGTAAGTTGGTAGGATAAGTAGCATAGTTATTAAAGGACTGTGTGTCACTTTGTTGAAGCGCCTATAAACCAAAAAAGGAAGACCTAAAATCCTTTCTAACATGATTCATCACAGAATTACCTTTATTTTAGTGAACCTCCCTAATTGGCCAGGCTTTAGCACAGCTGGTTAATCACCAGCAGCAATATATCTTGCCAATTGAAAGGTTGGTAGTTTCAAGCCCGGGTTGGGGTGAGCACCCAACCTTCAGCCCAGCTCACTGTCTGCAAGCAGTTCGAAAACAGCTGTGACCAAAGAAATTAGGCACTGCTTAAGTGGGGAGGTATTTCACGGCACTATAAAAAAATACCAGAAAAATGCCCGAGATTCAAGGAAGGAGGAAGTCTGTGATCAAGTCTCCAGGACACTGAAGCCAACATAATACCTCTATGTTGTCTGTCCTATCTGTTTACCGGCATTGAATGTTTGCCGTGTATGTGTTCTGTGATCCACCCTGAGTCCCCTTCGGGGTGAAAAGGGCGGAATAAAAATACTGTAAATAAATTAATATATAATGTTTGCTAATCATTTTCTTATTCATGGGTATTTCTTAAGAGAACACCAGGTGTTTTTTGTAATCCTTCCTTTCACTTGTAGGACTGGTAGGATTCCTGGGGGAAATGAAACCAGAAAGTGTTTTTTAAGAAATGCATATGTTGTAGATCCCATCCATCTATTACTACATGGGTGCCACTTTCCATACAATGCGGCATGTATGCAAACAGTCCAAAACACCTGGAGGAGCACAGCTTGAGAAAGACTGCTATAGGGGGTAAAATGCGGAGCCTGCCAAAAAAGGAAGGACATAACACTAACAGGGCTTTAAATCCAGACAAGTAAGACTTAAGCGCTCCAAGTGCTCAGTATTGCATTTTGATGAACTGGGTTTTTGAATAAATCAGTGATTTTTTTTTTAAATTGAGGAGCCCTGCACATATATAGGTGTAAAATGTTGCTGGGCAACCATAGACTCACTTCAGCTATAATTTGCTGCTTTCCCACTAGGACTATTTTGAAGCAAATCTGTATTTGCCACATAATATGTGCTCAGCTGGGAGGTACATTCACAGTGTTCACAGTTCCTAGACAATTGTACCTGTCAGACAAAAGGTGGAAATTGTCACTTCCAGGTTTTGTTTCAAAGGCCTGATAATGAACCCTGTGCATCTGATTTTTAAGATATACATTTGTTGCATTTTGCCTCTGAAACATGTTTTGAAGCTTTTCTCATGAAAGCTTTTGATGGTCAAACTGCTGATTGTGATGTTTTTCTCAAATACTGCCTGTTCTACTATCCTAGGTATGTGGTGCTTATTTGTCAACTGACTGGAATGAGCGTAAGCGAGGAGGAGGCAAGTTGAGTTACTTCGGTACAGGAGAATGTTTTGTTTTCAGGGTAAGAAGTGAACATAGTGTTTCTGTGTATGTGCATGTGCATGTACACGTACATGTGTTAATGCACATGCATATTGTTGAGCAACCATCTTTTACCCAACACATTAGATATCTCCTGTCCAGTTCTTGCCTTTATGCTCCTTTATGCTGTAGATATCAACAGGAAGTTCTTGCTCTTTATCGTGCAAGTGTTGATTTCATTGCTTGCTTTGCGGAGTGTGGATCTTGAAATGTACCCAAATATATCCCCAGAGAGCTCCATATGGGTCTTATGAATAAGCACATTTGTTCCTGAACATTTATGAGATAGATCTTAATTTGAAGTGCAGTTTTTCTTTTACCCAAACCTACCATTAAGCATTATGTGGGAGGTTTGAGTCTGTGCATGTTTTCCACCAGTGCTGCGTCAGTTAGCTTTCCTGGAATTTGTTCTCACTCCAGCCTGCACCGTTTATGCGCTTAAAGTGGTTCCAGAACCAAAATTAGCCCAAACCACTTACTCAGTTTATCAAAAAATCCACAGAAAACTTACAAATTCATCAAAAGTCTTTATCAGGCTGTAATGGCTCTCCTTTCACTGGACCTGGTCATCACTGTTTATTGTCCTCCTCTGCTGCTGTGTACAGTCTTCAGCTATCATCATGAATATACAAGATTTGCCCGAGAACCTACTTGTTTGGACTTTGTGGGGCAATATATCAACTGCTTTCTCTTCCTGCCGTCTGATTGGCTAACATGTGCACCCACCTACTCTTGAACACCAAAGGAAGAAGTAGCAGCCTGATGCTTGGAAGAGAGTTGCTCCTTCCTTCCATGGTCAGGAACAGCTGAAATGTATCCAGGTACTTACTCATAGATAGTGGCCAAAGAGGCAGACTAAGCTTCCTCCGATGTTGTATCCTGTGGAAGCAGCTCTGGTTGTGAGACCAAACGTTTGCACAGTGATAGTGCAACAATTGATATCTCAGTGCAATAATGACAATTACGTATGACTATAAATTAAATCATCAAAAACTATAAACCATCAGACATAGACATAAAGCATTTTAACATTGTACTACCCAATTGATGAAATTGTGTCCTTTAAATTGGCAGTCATGAATGGATCACCAGAATGAATTTGAAGCAGCATTTCAGGTTCTACAACCTGTAATTGTTTATGGGTTATGTTGTATCATTATCGCATCAGCCATGTCTTTTAAGTGTATATTTATGTCTGCCTAGAACAGTGGTTCCCAACCTGTGGTCTTGGTCTACCAGTGGTCCGCAAGAACTAAAATATGGTCTGGGACCTTACCGTTACTATGAGAGCGACTGGTCTTGCGAAACCCTCTTACAATGCTAAGGCTTACTAAATACGGTTTTCTGTGGGTGAGCAGCTGGCAACTACTGAGTGGCATATGTTCTGTATCAGAAACTAGAGCTGATGTGGTCTATCCAATGCAGTTTTCTGAATCAGCACCCCCAAATAACCAGAGCAAATCTAAAGTTGACCAAAAGCTGATTCGTAATCCTTTGGAGAGTGGTCCCTGGTCAAAAAAAGGTTTGGAACCACTGGCCTAGAAGAGTAAATGAGAGAAACACTATACATTGCCTACTGAACAATCTGAAATCCTTCAATGCTGTAGAGTGTCCAGGCTGATCAACACCTGAATGAGAGACCAGTGGGCAACCCAGGCAAACTGCTTTAAGCTTTCTAAAGGAACTGCTGGATACAGACCTAAGAAGAGCCTTGCTTGATATCTGTGCCCTTTTCCTTCTGCACAATACAGTTGGATAAAATTGAGGGGCTACTCGTGCCAAGGAGCCTTCTCCAAACATAAAGTCACCTTCTGAAGAGGAACCCAAGATAAAGTTTTGTATACTTTACTAATTTTATTTCTCCTTTTTCCAGCTGGTACCTGAAGTGGAGCGCTATGAATGGGTGATAATCAGGCATCCAGAGCTAGCTGTGGCCGGAGTAGAACAAGCAAATAGTTCTTCCCAGATTTCTGATCCTCCTTCTTCAACTAGCCTCTCCTCAAATCCCTCAGATCGTCTATCACCCTTTCTTTCGGCTCGGCACTTCAATTTACCTTCCAAAGCGGCATCCATGTTTATGGCTGGCGGTGTTGAATGCATCATCATAGGTAAGTCTGTGCTCGCCTACTGCTGCATATACCAATATCTTTTTATAGTTCAAGAAACACACATTCTCTTTTTGCATATACATATACAAGATGTTTTATCCTTTTATTTTTGAATATATCACCTGAAATGATATATCCCCCTTTTTGTGGTGTCACAGAATGATACTATTAGCTAACACTGGTGGCAGAGACATAGCAGACCTCCTTGTGGTTCTCTCTGCTCAGTGTGTTTTCTAGTGTAGTCAGTCAGCCCCTCTACAAGGGGAGCATTCTATCAAGCCTGATGAACTTTTTCCAATGATGCCACATCTGCATCAGATGTTGTAGTTTGTAGTTGGACGTCCCAAGAGTGTTGTTGTTAACTGTTTTAAAGTCAAGCTCAACTTGTGTGGATGAGAGTCCTCCCAAGTCTCCCTGAAGTCAAAACCTCTGCTCTCTCCTTATAGACTCAGGGTAATCATGTCTGAGTCTACCCATCTGAGATGCAGACTTCCTCTTTTCCTACTTTAACCAAGCAGTGTTGTGTTTTGTAGTGAAAAATTTGTTCTTGTGATATGGCCAAAGAGTGATACCCTCTGTTAAATCAACTTGGATCCTTGGGAGAGTTCAGGCATAGAATGATAGAGTTGGAAGAGACCTCGTGGACTGTCCAGTCCAACCCCATTCTGCCAAGCACCCCCAACAGGTGGCCACCCATCTGTTTAAAAATCTCCAAAGAAGGAGCCTCCACCACACACTGAGGCATAGAGTTGAATAGCTGTCTCTCCCAGTTCGGACGTTCTTCCTAATGTTCAGGGGAAATCTCCTTTCCTGTAGTTTGAAGTCATTGCTCCATTGCATCCAGGGCAGCAGAAAACAAGCTTGCTCCCTCCTCCCTGTGACTTCCCCTCACCTCTTGATCCATGGCCCTCATCATGTCTCCTTTCAGCCTTCTCTTCTGCAGGTGAAATATACCCAGCTTTTTAAGCCACTCCTCATAGGGCCCGTTCTCCAGACCCTTGATCATTTTAGTCACTTTCCTCTGGACACATTCCAGCTTACAGTCAACATCTCCCTTCAATTGCGGTGCCCAGAATTGGACACAGTGTGATTCCAGGTGTGGACTGACTAAGGCAGAATAGAGGAGTAGCATGACTTCCCTAGATCTAGGCGCCAGGCTCCTATTTATGCAGGCCAAAATCCCATTGGCTTTTTTCAGTGCTGCATGACGTTGTTGGCTCATGTTTAACCTGTTTCCCACAAGGACTCCAATATGTTTTTCACATGTACTGCAATCAAGACAGGCATCCACTGTTCTGTATCTTGGCATTTCATTTTTTCTGCCTAAGTGGAGTATCTTGCATTTGTCCCTGTTGACTTGTCCTAGAACTCATTTATTGGAAATTACTTGATTTTCTTCCTATCATATTTTTTTAACTAACCTGCTTTGGCAACCATACTCAGAAACAGGGAACATACTGATACGGATCATCCTCACTTTGGTATTCAGTTGTGCTTTGAAAAATGCGCCTGTCTCACATGCAATACTGACTGTTTTTTAAATAGCTTTGCTTTATCACTGTGTTTTTCCTATTCTGAATCACACCCCAATCAGTTAGTGCAAATTGGTGTATTTTGCCCCCAATATTTTGCTGATAGTTACAGTAATTTGTATGTTTTGCTCCTGCCTTGGGTCTTTGACAGATTAGTGAACTCTTTACTACAGAGCAATACAACAGCTGTGAAATATAGCCTAATGCTTCCCCATGATGCATTTTCACTTCAAAGCTAACATAGGTTGCCACCCTATGACTACGTAAAGTGACAAGCGAAACATGAGTCTGTGGTCTCTTCTTTATATCTAAGTCTAGAGAGTAACAGTGTTGATCTGGTCTCTTCTGTGCAGGAGGAGGTGATGGACAGGCTCTCTACATCGATGCAGACCTCAACCATGGAAGAACGGGGCACTGTAACACTTTTAACAACCAGCCATTGTGTTCTGAAAGTTTCCAGATAGCTATCATGGAAGTGTGGGGATTCAGGGACACTATGAGCAATTGAGGGGACTGTCTCCTTAAAGAAAAAACTGGGCTATGAATTACAGTGTTATTCTGAGTCTTGTTCTGCTACAAGAGCCAATTGGACTTTGGCACTACAGTCATGGTTTCCTTTTGGGATTTGGAAAGCTACCTTTCAGGGCCCACAAATTTTGCCATGATATTCTTCAAATGCAATTTTTGTTGGGCTAATCAATTGAATCATACCTCTGCACTCCTTGTTCATATCCTGGTATTTCAACACATTGATGCCTAGCTGCGCTAGAGCTGGGACAGCCTTTGTGGAGGCCAGATGCATATCAGAGCAAAGCTGTACTTTGACAGCTAGCTTTAGATACTCAGATGTATCGCTTATCCTGGTGTAGCGCAAGGTTCAAATTCCTGCAAACATAAACTTGGATCCAAAGTGATTTGTGTACAATTGGATCACATCAAATTACAAATTTCCCATTTCCTTCCCCAGCTACAGCCCCACTGTTTATGTACTATGCTGTTCTAGAGGTTACCCAGAATCCTAAAGGGCTGCAGGAAGAAATGGAGCATGGGAGAGTCCTATTGCACATATGCAGAATGCTCCCAGTGGCTCTTTTGATCTAGATCATTTAATGAATCGGTTTCTTTATAGAAATATTTTGAAAGCACTAAGTGTTTATGTGTGCATATATTTGTGATACCAGCATATCTCTTTGTGTACATATATTTGTGATGCCTGTGACTATTGCCCTAAGGAGCATTCATGCTTTGTAATGTATGAAGGTGAAGCTAACTGGTTTTGGAGCACTTATTGATCTGCAGTGCCACCCTTTTGTTGCAGATATTCAGTGCAACACACTGCCATCTGCGTTTATGTTTATATTCCTAATTGTGCATATCAGTAATATCATTTTAGGGTTGGGGAGTAGATTCAGGCAGCTAAAGCCCGAGACAGTATACGCAGCACACAGAACAATTTTCCCTTTGAACGTACGTTGGTTGTATTTGTGTTTATAAAAGGAAATTGAGATAATCTTAAGAAACAGTGTTAGTCAGCTGTATTGAAACTTTGATGCAATCTTCAAGTTAAACTTCATTGCAGCTGGTTAGAAAAAAATAGTTGCTCAATCTCTCACTTGATTACCAATTATGTATTTCTTCTAATAGCTCCAGGGGGTGCTGTTTTCTCAGTAACCAGATAGGTCATTGAAAGCTGCTTGCCTGTTTTCTTATCAGTAACATTCCTTTATTACAGGTTGCGCTCTTGTCTTATCATAGATACACAGCCTGCTACAGAGTCCCAACTTCCCTCTGCCTTGTATTGACTGTAAGAGTTGCCCGTTAACAGTTTTGAAAATGGAGGTTGCTTTGCCATATCTTAAGATATATCCAAATATCTACATTGCTACAACTGTAGTACTTGGATCTTTCTTTCATCATTAGTATTGTCTTAAACCCTGACTTTAACAGTGCACTGAAGAATAATTGAGACAACATTGAAATAGAGATCACTATCTTCTGCCTCAGAAGCACTAAAAAACCAAGAGGAAACTGTTCTGTGATCAAGAAAGGTGGTTGAACCTGTAGCATACCCCAGTGTTTGGATGGTGTCAAATGCTCAGAGATTATTGTCCAAGGGAAATGTGCATTAGTATATCACATAATCTACTTAAGCATAAATGTCAAGATGAAGGGATCAAAACATTTCATGTTATCTATCAAGTATTGTTTTAGTTGGGGTGGGAGAAGAAGCCTTTTTCAAGATCCTTCATTGATTCAACCAATATATTGCACTTTCTTGGGAATTCAGTCTGTTATAGCAGTTCCCTAAATGTAATATGCTATCTTCTTGCCATCTTTTCTCCCTGTATTTAAATCTGTGTTGGTTTTAAATCCAGCAGCTGAATGCAATCTGCAATGAATTATTCCAAAATAACTAACTAAAACGAGTTGCTATATTATTTATCCAGAAAATGCTTTAGATCTGACTGTTACTTAATTATGTAAATAAAATTATCTTACGCATTGATAAGAAGCAGACATTTGAAGGTAGGATTTGGAAACAACAGAGCAAGTCCATTAGAGCAGTCCTGGGGGGAAAAAAGCTTTGGCATGCATGCCAAATATATATGCGCCTTGAAGTTGGGGTTTGCAATTGAGGTGTCAAGACTGATGACTAGACAGGAACTATTCTAGTAGATCATTAAAAATAGTTTCCCGAGAAATAGCCACTTCCTCACCATCCATATTGAACAACAGTATTTCCAGAGCTTGGAAAGGAATTCTGGAGATAAAACCAGGAAATGACAGCTATATATAGCTTCCAGTCTATTTTAGGGATGGAGGCAAATGAAGTGCTAATTTGCTGAGTGGTTTGAATTGGATAATTATCTTGAACATTCCATAATTCAACGTTAAGAAATAACAGTGACTTATCTTCTCGTTAAGGAAGACACTTGAATAATTTCTATTTCTCAGGTATATGAGGAGGGCAAAGAGCCAATGCAACAGTTCAGAAAAGTGAAACATATCAGCAAAAATTTAATATGCAAAGACGTTTATTACAATCACAGCATTTACGGCTTCTTAATTTTCCTTTCCTGTTGAAGGAGATTCCTCACCTTCCCTGCTCCATGTTGTGAAATAAAGTGTCTTTGTATTTCCCAGAAATGTCTTAGCCTTTTAAAAATCTGACAGTCACTGTGGTGGTTTTGTGTGCTGTCAAAGCCAGTCAAGTTTTTCCTCTCTCCTTTAACTAGAACAGGTGATTTTGGGAGTTTCAGGTCTCTATCCAGAGACTAAAGAAGGCAAAATGGAAGTCAGTTCTTTTCTCCCATTGTGATGGTTATTATGTGTCTGTCATTTTGGAGGAACTTTGAACCTGACTGTAATACTTGTGTATGTGCTTGTGTTCGACGACGTGTTGTTTTTCCCTGGAGGCAACTGCAGTTTTCCTGCACTTTGACTTTCCCCCCTAATCTTATCATATAGAAGTAATATATCCCTTCCTTCCCCAGTTGATGAAGGTGATGGCAGCTGGCTGTTTGTGTCTGTAAATCTGTGACTCCTCAGAAATAAATTAAATATCTGTCAAATAAACTATCTGCATAGTTTTTGATGTTAACCGTTTCATTCTTTTGTCCCTGATGTGAGCAGTCCAATGCCTTGCTTGAATTCCTTGCTTGAGGCAGAAATCCTAGCTCCAAACCAGGACAGCCTATTTACCAATTTCCAGGAACAAAGAACCACCAATCCACAGAACCTTAGTTTTATCAGAATCCAACCTTATACTACAGTATGAAATATAATATTGCTACCTATCTCAGATGTAATTAGGGGTTGCGTTGGTGCAGTGAATTAAGCCACTGAGCTGTGGAACTTGCTGACCAAAAGGTCAGCGGTTCAAATCCATGGAGTGGGGTGACCTGTCATTAGCTCCAGTAGATCAGTAGGTAACGCTACTACAAGAAGGTAATGGTACTCCATGCAGTCATGCCGGCCACATGACCTAAGAGGTGACTATGGACAACACTGGCTCTTCGGCTTAGAAATGGAGATGAGTACCACCCCCTAGAGTCGGACACAACTAGACTTGATTTCAAGGGGAAACCTTTACTTTACAGATGTTATCTTTGTTTGTTTGTTTGTTTTTATCCCACTTTTTCTCCCATGGGTGGGATTCAGAGCGGTGCACAAGGCTAAAACGCAAAGATAAACAACATAAAAGTCCAACAAAAAAAATCATAAACCAAGTAAGCAGATTTTACACAATACATGTAATTTGTTTATTTTATTTTACAGTATTTCTACCCAGCCCTTCCCACCCTGAAAGTAGGCAACAATTCGATTCCGCACATACATACAAATAAAATAAATATATACATTAAAAACCAAAAAGTTAATGCATTGGGACTGTTTCAAAATCATCTCAAATACCTAATTCTGACCTCTAGAGGTCCTTATTTAGTTACAGCAACAAATAGTTTTTGAAATCAGTCACCTAAAAGGCACAAGCTTCTATACTATTTTGGAACTTGAATGGCTTTCTTTGAAAGAAGGAAACCGAACAGTGTGGTTATTTATTTATTGTGTCAGAAGCAAACCAAACAATTGTATTGCATTTTTTAACAAACAAAACACAAAGTTTGCAAGCTTGGTAGTTGATTAAATGTCCTTTGACCAGTAGCTGGCCACTTGGCGTGCCTCTGGTGTTGCTATAAGAAGGTCCTCCATTGTGCATGTAGCAGGGTTCAGGTTGCATTGCAGTAGGTGGTCTGTAGTTTGCTCTTCACACTCGCATGTCGTGGGTTTCACTTTGTAACCCCATTTCTTAAGGTTGGCTCTGCATCTCGTGGTGCCAGAGCGCAGTCTGTTCAGCGCCTTCCAAGTCGTCCAGTTTTCAGTGTGCCCAGGAGGGAGTCTCATTTGGTATCAGCCATTTATTGAGGTTCTGGGTTTCAGCCTGCCACTTTTGGACTCTCGCTTGTTGAGGTGTTCCAGCAAGTGTCTCTGTAGATCTTCAAAAACTATTTCTTCATTTGAGTTGTTACAGTGTGGTTACGTAGCATGAGCAGCACTTAGCTTTCTATATGACTGTAGCCCTGGTCCCACACACTTGCAAACAGGGAACACCAGAAGGGATGTTTTGTATGGGCATGGTGGAAGAGACCGCATAAGGCAAGTGTGTGTCTCTAGGGTGAACCCTCCCCAGCCTCGGTCCTTTGGAAAGTTTAAGACTATTGTTTTGCGAGCTGGGAAGAGGCTTCCTTACTTGTGTCCCTGAGTGTATACAAGGTGAGATTGGGCTAGAAGTTAAGGCTGATGGCTTATGCAAGCTGAATGGAGGCATGTTTGTGCACTCAATATTGTTGCATTGTGTGTGGGTCCAGGTCTCCTGCGTAAGCACATGGACTCGGGTACGTCTATTGAAAGGAAGCAAATCAGATACTTGTTTGGGGGAAAAGAAAAGAAATTACTGGCTCTCTATAAAGTTGCAACCCAGTCTCTGAAGCTCAGCTAACAGGAACACTAGTAGCAGTGTTTGGTGAGGGAGTTTTGAAGGAGACTCCAAGAATTGTTTCAGTGCAGCCCCTTCTAGCTACCTGTGCTCCTTCTGGCCAAACAAGAAAAGTTACAACTGAGGCCAGAGCAGAAGTGCAAGGACTACTCTGCAAAGCCTGCAAAACCGAGAAGAAGCTTGTCCTGAGACCCTAAATCCACAAGTTTCCATTCGTGATCTTCTAACAGCAAAGCTATATTTAATCATGTTGAATGTGGCTGCCTTTAAGACTGTGTAGCAGAGTATAGAGTTTTTTAAAAAAACGTAAAGTCCTTGTGGCTTTATTATAATTGATGAATTGATTCGCTCTCATTTGCTATATTGTTGCTTTGTCTGCAAAAATCCTTCAGAGTGATACTTTGATATGGGTTGTGATCTGCAATGGATTAATGAACCATCGAGCTTACGTTCTATTGTAACAATACCATGGGATCCCTCTGTTAAGGAGATTTCCATCAGCACAGCTGGCCAGAGAACTTCAAGTCTCCTTCCTTTCCCAGAAATAGCAGAGTTGATAACTCATATGGGTTCTTTCATATGAATCGGAGAAATCGAGTTGACTCCATTATTTCTGCTAGTCAGCCACATGCCCAGAGAATTGCCATGTTCTTCCATTGCCGGTGCCCTGAGACCATGTGGGCCATGGACACATCTGAACAGTAGCACGAGCATGGTTTTATGGCTCGGCTTATTCCAATGCTGTTCTGCTCAGTAGGAGGAGTACATTGTGGCTACTAAATCCCTGTTTTCCACAGCCATAACATGCTGTATTGATCCTCTACATCGGCCTTTCTCTGATCCTGTTTCTTTTCCCCAATACCTTTGCTAGCTAATAGCTATTTCAGTTTTTTCACCTGTTAAGAGCATGCTCACCACAGCCTATGACATGCACCAAAAATTTGATGTTTCCATACAGGCAGCTGTAAAAAACATTACAAGCAACTCCATCACTGGATTTTCACCCCACCTAGAGAGAGGGAGAGAGGTAGTTATAACGTAGGTAAAGGTAAAGATTTCCCCTGACATTAAATCTAGTCGTGTCCAACTCTGGGAGTTGGTGTTCATCTGCATTTCTAAGCTGAAGAGCCAGCGTTGTCTGTAGACACTTCCTAGGTCATGTGGCCAACATGACTGCATGGGCACTGTTACCTTCCCGCAGAAGCGGTACCTACTGATCTACTCACATTTGCGTGTTTTCGAACTGTTAGGTTGGCAGGTGCTAGGCCTAACAGTGGGAGCTCACCCTGCTCCCCGGATTCGAACTGAATGTCTTTCGGTCAGCAAGTTCAGCAGTTCAGTAGTTTAACCCGCTGTGACACCAGGGGCCCTAGGTAGATAGTGCAGGAGTTCACAATCTTTTACACAATCTTTTGGAGCAACTGCAGATCCTCCTTGCAGAACTCTCCACATGAGAGTTCAGTAAGACAGCCAGGATCCCCATACCTCTTGCTATAGGCAGCAGTTTTTCCTTATGACTATAAATGGCAACCTACTACATTTGTGGAAGTTGCTTCAAAGGAAAGGGAAGACTGCTTTTGCTGTATGTACCGTGAGCCCACATGGATTTTAATCCCTTCCTGTATTGATGACATCATGGGAGAAGGAAGGCTGAAGAGATGGAATAAAATGAGTTGAGGTATGGGAAGATTTTATAAAACGCAAAGATTGTGTAAGTGGGAACATAGCAGCAAGGCACACAATCTTGTCATAGAATCATATATTTGGGGAAAGCTTCATGATCTCCGATTGAAGCCCAAAATATCTGGAGGGGTACAGGGGTGAGAACCACTCAGATAAATGTAACATGATTTTTGTTCCTAGGTTATAAATATCACTTCTTAACTGGTTCTATCATAAAAACATGGGGAAATGTTTCCCTATGTTTTTACTGCAAAAACTTTGTCTTTGTGAGAGGAAAATCCTGCTGCACATGTTGCAGTTTTTCAATAAATCTCTCATCGGTGAGTCTCAATTCAACCTAGTTTGTGGCAGCCACAAAAACCAAAGCTTCTGGGGAAGAACAACTACTTTCAAAGTAAGTAAGTGACACTTTCAAACTAGGAACAGATTTTTACAGATTTTGTTATAGATATTGTTACCATGGTTTTCTGTGGCCAAGCAGATAAAGACTGATAGATGGCACCTATTGGATGGATGGCAAGCTATTTAACCTCAGCAGACTGAAAGCCAAAACCAAGGTCACAACAACTCCAATTTTATAGAACTCCAATATGCTGATGATAACGTAGCCTTTGTGTATTCAGAAGAAGACCTACAAGCTTATCATTGAATATTGAGAAAACCAAAGTGCTCTTCCAGCAGGCACCAGCCAATACCTCTCCAATGCCAGAAACGCAGCTTAATAGTGTAACATTAGAAAATGTTGACCATTTCCGCTGCCCTGGCAGTCACCTCTCCACAAAAGTCAACATTGACATTGAAATACAATACCACCTGAGATCTTCAAGTGCAGCATTTTTCTGAATGAAGCACAGAGTGTTTCAGGATCAGGACATTCATAGGGAGACCAAGGTGCCTGTTTACAAAGTTATTGTCATCCCAACCCTACTATATGCTTGCAAAACGTGGACTGTCTTCAGATGTCACTCTCAACTCCTGAAATGATTCCATCAGCATTACCTTTGAAAAATCCTGCAAATCTCTTGGGAAGACAGGTGGACAAAGGTCAGCTTGCTGGAAGAAGCAAAGACCACCAGCACTGAAGCAATGCTCCTACACCATCAACTTTGCTGGACTGGCCACGTTGTCTGAATGCCCGATTACCATCTCCCAAAGCAGTTACTCTATTCCCAACTTAAGAACAGAAAAAGGAATGTTGGTGGACAGGAAAAGAAATTTAAAGACGGTCTTAAAGCTAACCTAAAAAACTGTGGCATAGATACCAAGAACTAGGAGCCCTGGTCCTTGAGCACTCTAACTGGAGATCAGCTGTGACCAGTAGTGCTGTGGAATTCAAAGAGTCACAAATGGTGGGGAAAGTGGAAGGCATGTTAAACGAACCCTGACCAGGTTCACCTTGCACATGGAAACCAATGCCCTCATTATGAAAAAACATGCGGGTCAAGAATAGGGCTCCACAGTCACCTGTGTATCCACAGTCACCTATGTATCCACTGCCAAGACACTACACATGGAAGGCCATCGTATTCAAATAACAAAGGATCCCTTAAGTAAGTAAGTATGCAACGCTCAAACTGAAACGGAATGTGATTTTCACTCAATGGTCAGAAGCTAGAAAAAAGGAAGCGGAAATAGCATTTTTAAATGTGAACATTGCTTATGCCCCCCCCCTCTCCCCACCCCCGAGGCTGGTTCTTATTTTTATTTTCGTTATATTTAAAGTTCCTGTAAACATAGACATTTTCCCAAATTTGGTGGTGCTTCTCTCTCAAGTGTAAATGGTGTCATTTTGGCTACAGCAAACCAGAGGCTACATTTGGAGAGTAAATTTGTTATTCTCTTATGCTTTAGAGCAAGGATGGAAAATACACAATTCTCCAATTGTTATTACGACATTTAACTACAACTTCCACCATCCTTTCCAATGTTGTTTACAGCACACTATTGTCTAGTCTAGCTAATAGGCAAATCTATATAAGCATCTTATCCAAGACTGGACAAATGTGACCCAGTCAATGTACCCCACTTTCAAAGATGTTAATAGGGAGAAAATGTGTGTCTTAGGACTCAACGAAATACAGTATTTGAAGAGTATGTGAAATGCAGAACTGCAAGCCACAAAGAGGAAAAACACACTGGAAAATACTAGGTTGCGGAAATTACTAAAGGCATGGAAACTGGATGGCATTTGCTGCTAAGGAAGGACCCAGGGTGACTACTAGGCTTATTTTTTTGCAGCCCAGAATGTCAGAGTAAAGCCAGAATTACAAATTCAGTTGCTTTGCTGTAATTAGCCCAATTGACTCAATTTTAATCGTAGCTGACATCGTACCCATGACCAGTTTGTTTTGTCAAACTCTGTCATTTGTGCTGTGCCAAAAATGCTGTAACGGCAATATCATGTGCCTTGGGCCACCCCATCTGATGTTATGGCTACAATGCCAGACCCTGAGAATGGGAACGTCCACAAACAATCTGTGTCTCCATTTTGCAAGTCACATAGATAAAAATCGCCACATAGACATTCGATGTTCTTCATGAGCACTTTGTCTTTTCCTTTATAGCTCCGAAGTCCCAAGAAATACTGATGCTTGAAATAAACTGGACTGAACCCAGTACTGGGGCTTAGTAGATCCTTTGGCCAAAGTTACTATTTGTTGCCTGCCTTCCTCTTAGTATTGGGGCTCCTCCGAGCTCTGTGTCTCACCTGAGAGGATACTGTGTGTTTCAGTCCTGTCCTACATTAAGAGTCAGATAAAACAAGAATTATTTATGGAAGGGAAACAAAAGTAGAGTCCTGCTGGAGCAGAACAAAGGCCAAACTAACATAGGTGGTTATCAGCTTGCATATCATGGTGTAGAGACTCAACGTTGAAAGCAGTTTTTGAGAAACAGCACTAGTGGCCTGTCTCTAATCAAAACAGACAATCAGACAATTGGTCCATTTCTGATCAGTCTATTGGTTTTCACAGTGATTCCTCCATAAATATTCCTAGCCTGGGAATTCTAGATCCCCTCTGTATGTGTGCCATACAGCATCTCCTGTCCCCCTGAAATCAATTTGAACCAGCCACAGATAGTGAGACCCAAGCCATGGATAGCAAAACCCGAATTGCAAATACCAAGTCCCGTTAAACAGATACCGGTATCGGCTGCAGGACACCTGTGGATTCATGTGCCTGGCAAGATGTCCACTGTAGTCCATACTGTATTTATTTATTTATTTATTTATTTACAGTATTTATATACCGCCATTCTCACCCCTGGGGGGAATCATTAATCTACTGTATGTGGTTCAAAATGATAGGATTAGCAAATCCAGTCCTGGGAGAGGGGAAATGTCAGTTTGGGAAAACAGGACATGACCTTTCAGCATATGGATAGTCGTGCCAAGTGATGAACCCTCTGCTGGGAGACAACTTTATTAATTTTGACACCCCCCCCCCCCCCCGGGGGGGTGTGTCAGTGCCCCTAAAACATCATCAGATCCCTTCCGTCATCTTGCTTTTTACCTCAAGCAACCAAACATATTGGGTTGGCCCTTGCAAATCCTATTGCTTTAAGCAAAATAACTGTCTGGGCTTTTTCTTAGAAAGGACAGAGCATAAATATTGAAAACAAAAAAGTAACAGCCACATAATCAACAGTTCCTCTTTGAAACCAAGTAGTTTCAAAATAATTCATTTTGGGCACAACCAGACTGAACAGTCCCAAGTTTTGTTCCTGATTTTTTAAATTTCTTTTCTGGTTGCATGCTAGATTAAAACAAATCAATTTAGGAAGCAAGAACGTCGGTCTCCAACTGGCCACTAGCCGGCTCAGTTTCAAGTCAACTTCCACCAGATCTGGGCTGCAGTGTCACGTTCTTTGCAGCAGCTTCCTTCTTCGCAGCCCTTATGAAAGGGCCAATAGTTAGGGTCAAATGAAAATCAAAGTACACAATAGGAAGGAATCTTTCGAATAGCCAGGGCAACGGGGTGGGATGCACCCAGGGAACTCTGATCTGGAAACCTGACGCAGCCAGAACATCCCTGTAGCAGCCAGGCCTTTGCTTTCCATGTCCACAAAGCAAGAGGAACCAGAAACAAAGGCTGCTCTCATCGTCAAGGGGAAACCAATGCAGCCGTGGGAGGTTTAACATCTAATTGGTTTCTTGCTCAGTCAAGGACCCAAGGAGCATATGGAAAGAAACCAGTTAAACATTATATCTCTAAGTACAGGCAGTCCCCAAGTTATAAACAAGATAGGTTCTGTAGGTTTGTTCTTAAGTTGAAATTTGTATGTAAGTCAGAACAAGTACTATCTATCTATCTGTTTATCTATCATGTATATGCTTTGGATAGCATAGGAAAGTTTTAACACCCTGTGTGCTGTTTCCTTTGCTGTCTGTGGCCCTCTTCAGAGAATTTCACCTCACTTTCTGTCCCTGTGAGAATTGGATTTTGGAACATTTGGCTTGTTGTGGAAACAAGGATTGGAGATAAAACTTCATTGGAGACCCCTTTCCCCCCTTATTACAATAACTCTTCCATGAGTGGATTTCCCTTCCTTTCAAAGGGCAGATTGCTCTCACTTTTTGTTGTCTCAGCCCCATTCTTAACTATAAGTCGCTTTTAAGTCAGCTATTTGTAATTCGGGGATGGCATGGGCATCCTTTGATTACAGGTTCTGATTGCAGAGTATTGCAAAACATTCCATTAATCTGCTTCTTGGGCTTGACATAGGACATCGCCTGGCATTTCCTTGAAAATCGCCGCTTCTAGAGCAGGGTGCTCCCTATCTCTGTGCTCCGATATATATATTTTTAAGAGGAGCTGCAGGAAATTATCTAAGGAATGTGCACTGTGTTCAAAAGCACAATTTGAATGTTGAAGTCCACAAAAAGCAGAGTTTCTCATGTTCTTTCAGAAAGGCTAGAAAGACTGAGAGATTAGAGCAAAGGAAATGGTTAAGATGAGCCATCTTCC